TCTCTCTTTGTATGTGTAAGTTTGTGTGTGAGGAGGATTTCTTTACTTTTCTTGGATTTGCATTTTGGTCCCTATACCTAAGGTATGCGCACCGTCCCTATACCCGTACATACGCAAGGATCATTGCGTTCATTGTAGCTTGAATCCAATACCTCAAACATATTCCTTGAAATCCCAAACTACCCAAACTATCATTTGGGGACTGGAAGATGAACTTAGTTAAACTCTAATTCTTTAAAGAATTCAAGTGGTAACTTTTGTATGAAAAGTTTTGTAATTGTTTTATTTTTCTTTCCCTTATTGTTTGTATTTTATGCTTTATCTTGCATGATGGATTGTATTTTTTAGTGTAAACGGGTCGGTTTTGGACAAAAATATGAATGGAAAATGAGTGAATCTAAATAAAAATTGTTGGTAATATAGGTCTTGTCTGAAAAATATCATTTTGACTTTTGATTTTTGATTTTCTGTTTTTTAAAATCGAGCTCACTATGTTGAGCTCATAGTTTTTAAAAACTTATTTTTATTTTAAAATTTAGATCATAATTAAAATGTGTTGAAAGGTGAAAATAAGATACTCCTAGAAATGGTGAAAAAACTAGCATAATTTTTTTAAATATAAAATTTAATAACAAAATCGTTATCAAATTCTTGATAGCTTGGTAAAAATATACATGTATTTGAAATTTGACTGTCTGTAACCAATGGACTAACACCCTGTATTTTTAAGCTTTAAAAATACCTAAAAATAGATTTTAGAAGATGAAATTAATATTTGATAAAGATTGTTCTCACTATATCCATATATAGAGAGAGGGAAACCTCTAAATAATAATAAGGGTGAAGAGAGCCACGGAAAGTTGCTTCAAATTATATCTCTGTAGGGATATAATGCAAAAACAAGTAAATTTTTTTTTAATAGAAATTTGCATTTGCATTGTTTAAATCCTATTTTCATCATTAATTTTTATGATATGTTTTTTTCCTACATTTTCAAATATTTTGTTTTAGATAGACTAAAAATAATAATAATTTATTTTAGTCCTTATCATTTACTTTTTCCCTAAATTATTGAACAAAAATTGACCTAAATACATATTTTATTTATTTATTTATTTAATAAATAGACATCTATAATATAGTAGGTATGACTTCAAAGCATTGCAAGGGATTAAATTATAATTTTTTATTAAATTTTGGATTAAAACATAACTTTTGAATTCTTTTTTTGTTTTTTTTACCAATAATGGAAGGTAACAAGTGTTTTATCCATTGAGTAAATTATACTCGACAGCTTTTGAAAGTTTAGATTATAATATTTAAAATATGTAAAAATAAAATAAAATCTAAACTAATTTTCAAAAAAATAAAATAAAATTTTGAGATGGGTAATTAGGCTACTTATTATTCCAGGATGCAATGCCTTCTACAAATTTGCAGCATTTTCTATAAAAAAAAAAGAAAACAATTAACCAATTAAGGCATTCAAAACTTTAAAACACTCATTAATAGAAGCTTGCTTCAAAACAAAGGAGATATGAAGTAAAATATCTTTCATTTATAGAATTGAAAATAAAGTTCAATAAATACTTAAAAAGATCAATTGATATTTTCAAAGATATATATAATTAAAACATCAATGAAGCATTAGAGATAAAGCCAATATATTAGAAATCTCAATATACAATACCGATTTATTAATTAAGAATCGATAACTTCTTTTGAATAAATTTTCTCGCTTTACAGTATTCATATCATTGAGACTTTAACATTTTTACATAGATGTCAACACTCAATACCTCGAAAAGACACCGATCAATTTCAATAGAAATAAAAAATTTATCGAGAGAGAGAGGGATGGCGATGGCGATGGAACTCGAAGATAACTCGTGGTAACTTTAATTTCCTTACCTCAAAAGAATCTTTCAAGTGAAACGAGAATCCTATGTAATTTCCTGTTCATCATCTCCCATGGTTGAGTTTCATTCATTATGAGGGGCAGGGTCCTTATTTTGTAGGGCCATTGAGGCCAAATTAAAGTGGCCGTACCACTATCTGTTGAAAGGCCATTGTCCATGCTTGATTTGGTACTCCTATTTTTTAAGGACCCATGTCTTTATTTCTTCATTTTGTTTTGGTCAGCCTTTTGAATTCCCTCTTTCAATTTCTTTTTACTATTTTCTTGTATATCCCAAATGAAAAAATTAGGCCTTTGGGAAAACTAAAAATGCCATTATTCCCACACTTTGTTTCATATCAAATCATAGTCTAATCCTCGCTGCATCGCACAACAACATATCTCTTTGCTTTGTTTTATCATTTTCCAAAAACAGAGCGTTACGTGTTGGTATTGACATATTTCTAATGAGTAATGACTCAGCTCATAAAGTTGAGTCAAAATATGAAATAAAACACTAAATTAGATTGTATTGACTTGTGTGTTAGTGGGATGGATGGGCAGATAGCATTACACCGTGTGATGTTCGAGTAGGGAGGAGAGGTATATGAATGAACTGCAACACTACATCCTAGATTATGTATGTAAATAAGTTTAGCGTGTGATTTTTCTTTTTCTTTTTTATTTGAACTCAATCACATGTGGATGTGATGGTTCGAATTTTCGACTTTTTAGTCATTGATATATGTCTTAACCAATTGAACTACGTCCGTATTTTAAAACTACTTAAAGCCGTATGAATTAACAATGATTATGATTAATGCATCAAGACAATGGGAAAGGTACAAAGATTGACAGTAGTTTGGAATGGCAGAGGGTAAAAAAGAAAAAAGAGGAAAAAACAAGTGGGATTTCTACAAAGGGGCAGAAAAAGCATCCCCCTTTGTCAATGTTACATGCAACCTTGTTAATAAAAGCACACAAGCAAAACAGGTGCATGCATGTCTTTCCTTCTATTTTCCTTTATTTTCTCAACTCATTCATCAATTCAGAAATCTACACCATAACTTTTATTATATATATATATCATGCATTTCACAATGTTCTTTTTCTTTCTTTCTTTTTTGTCATAGTGAAAAATGGAAGATGTTGGATTTAGATTTTAGGGAAAATATCATGATCTCCTTTTTACCTCTTGGGTCAAAAGTTTAAAGTTAGAAAATTTGGTTTTCATCTTTTAATTGCAATGGTTGTTTCCTTAGTTGAGTTTGAGTATTTTTTGTGCTAAAATTGTGCCTTCTTTTAGTACTTGATATGTTGGTTGAGTTCTTGAACATTTTTATGATTGGATTTAAGCATATGTCAGCTTAGTTTGAGTGTTAGTTTAAATTATTTGGGGGCAAGGATTCGAACTCATGTGACCGAAGGAGAAACGAGAAAATTTTCTAATACTTGAGTAGAAGAAATTCATTTCATTTGTACCTAGACACATCATTAGTTGATAAATTATTTTATTTCATGGACCCGAACTTGTTCTTAAATAATTTTTATAATAGTACAAAACAATGAACATGTTTTTCCCTCGAGAAATACTATAACGTGGACTTGGGCTAATTTTATATAATTTATTATTCGATTAATTCATGAGTATACTTTTGATTTAGTTTGTCAATTCAAACATAACTTAATAGATAAAAGAATCTTTTGTCTTGCTTAATTGGAAGGTTCAATCTCCTACCCTATATTATTGTACTAAACAAAATAACCTAATTTAATTTCGACAATGTATGTTAACTTTACAATTTATTCAAGTTTTGGCATTCAACTTGGCAAAATAATTGAAAAGTTTGAAATTAAAAGTGATGTATTACCCAAAAGAAAGAATTAAATGTCGTTGGGAATGCAACTAACATGTTACATAAGGTAGATAAGAGAAATTAAAGATCATGAATATATAAGTAAGTTCAGTGAAATTAAAAACTGATAGTACACTCTGTGAACTACATTCATGAGATTTATATTGAAATTATTTTTTAGTTTTCATTTTTTCATGACAAATTTAAGCACATAAAATATAATTTGCATGAATAAAGTATCGGGAGGAAACGAGACATACTTGGATCAAAATGAGAGAAAAATCGGAATCAAAGTGACCAAGATGGAATAACAACAAGATTTGAAGCCAAAAACCCTAGGAGATAACGCCACGACACTTTGAAGTTTAGATTTTGTGTTTTTTGAATAGTGTAGCGCAATTGCACTGCTGCAACAACTTTTTATAAAAATAGGGTTGTGCAGCCACCGAGATGGAGGAGTTTTGGGGAGGTTTTCTGGCAGTTTGCCTTTTTGACCAATTTGGAGGGTAAAGAGACCATTGGAGAGCTTAGAAAAGTGATTTTCAAGGCTCGGGATCGGGTCGTTTTGGGGATGGACGATTGACACACTGAACATAATTTCTTCTCATTTCCCTTGATTTTTCTAGTTTTGTTATGGACTTCTCATTGTGATTTTGTTGTTTTCCATTGAATATGAGAAGTTAAACCTCTTATTTTAGGGATTGATGTAGCCATTAAACTTTATAGATCGATTGTTTAGTTCTCTTGATTGAATAATTACGAATGTTCTATTTATGTTTCTCTATGCTTAATGCCTTTAATCTACTGGCCATAGATTGATTGATTTTAGACTTGAAATCTTACACTCGAGAGAGGTGGCTGAGAGTTAGAACTGGGATGCATAACTAAATGGGTCTAAGATCGAAAGATTTAAAAGTCCTTTAGAGGCCATTAAAAGACTTGTTCAATAAAACCTTTGTTATAAAAACTAGATAGGGATGTTGGTTTCTTAATTGGTAAAGAGAAATAGCTTGCGCTTGGGAGAGAGCATTTGAGATTTGAGAGTTAATAATTCGTTCGAGTAATTAAGTAGTTGGTTCATAGATTCAATAGGTGAAATCAATTCCCTATTGTTTTTATCTTTGTTATTGCATGTTTATTTGCTTTGATTATATTTCCCATTTGATTTTGATTCTCTAAATAAAATTGATCGCGATTGTATTTATGATCTAGAAACCCAATCCAGATGACGATATTGATATTTACTTACCACTTTATTAAAACTTGATCCGTACACTTGCGGTAAGCAAAATTTCTGCTACAAAAATAATGCTACATGAACCTAGAAGTAAAGTTATGTATAATTATAGACTTATGCCCGGATGATATCATACCATTATAGAAATAGGGAAGAAATTTATCGTCCCAAGGACTAAAAGTGGACAATAATAATGTAAAGGAAGATGAAGATGATGGTGAAAGATGCCCCAATGCTTCAATGCACATTACCAATAGCTATTGTATATCATGAATCCCACATAACATAACTTGTCACAATCATACGTATTGTAACACCAATCATAATCTTTCTGCTATTTTCTATCGTCGGTTGGAATATTACAGGTTCCTGTCTAACACAAATATCAATTTCTTAAATTTATTAAAAAGTAATCATGAAATATCAACATCAGTAAATATTCTTGAAAAATTATAGAAATTTATAAGAATTGTTTCAACTTGTCAATAAGAATTTGGTACTGTTTAGGATATGTTATGAATCATAATTATTAGTATTTATGTTTTTCTTTAGGTCAATAAATTTAGTGTGAGGATGGAACCGTGGACCTTAAAAAAAATATGTATATTTCATGTCTTAATTGTCAAACTATGCTTAATTTTATTATTAATATTTATATTCTTTTTATATAGTGCCTCTATCATCGGAATGTCAAACCCATAATTAACCAATAAAAGCATCCGCTTGTTGGTGAAAACTTTATTTCAAGACTATTTCTAATGGATTTCATAAGATGAAAATTGCTACATCAAGTTGAATTATATATAAGTTGACGTTTATACTTGTTTATGTTGAATTATGTCGGAGTTATCGAAAGTCAACCACATCTTCAATTGGACGAGCTACAAAGGAGCGAGCTATACAAGAAAAAACAACACTCTAAAGTCTGAGTTAGTTCGAATTCGAGCTGAGTAGATCAACATTAGACAAAATTGCATGTCTGGTTAAGAGGAATGAGTTCCCCTTTTCAAGAAATAAAGTGGTTACAGCCGTTTCAATAAATGGTTATGGTTGTCGGACCATAGGTCGGCAACTTTGTAGATCAATCAAGTGTCTTAGCTAAGATTCTTTTGTTCCTCCCACGTCTCATAGGTCGGATCAAGAGTTAGGTCGGTATACATACATTATCCTACACACCTCAAGGTATCGTGGGTGGTTCACGTGGCCTATTAAATTTTACCCTATAACAATACTCATACTGTTAAAGAAAATTTTTTATAACTTGGTTTAACGAAAGGTGACTAATTCAAAGGATTTCTTTTTTTTTTTTTTTTGAAAGAGAATAAATTATTTATTTGAGACGGAAATTGGAAGGGGAAAACGAATTGGTCAAGGTTAGAAACAGGGGAAATGACATGTCGTTTCGTTTATTCTGAGGCCGTAAAAGTAATTTTCATTTGATGAAATGAACTTCCGACACGTTGTCATATCGACCATATTCCCAAGCAAACACTGGCAAATGGATGGCGTGAGGGGGCCGACATGTCGCATCTTACTTTCTGAAGATCGAATTTTTGGATGGATTACCATCGACCATTCCCTTTCAATCACTCTCTCATTACTTTATAAATTGGCATTTCACCGCAGTAATTTCACAAAAATAAGGTTCAAAGATTCTCTTGGATTTTTTATTTCAATCCTCATCAAATATAATAAACTTTATTACTTCAAATTAAACATAAATAAAGGAAAGTGAAAATAAAATACTATATATCAATAAAATGTACACATTGTGCTATATTTATGATTACTTTTATAAATTTACATATTTGCAAATCTTTTACCACCCACATAAGAGGAAAAGATTATCTCTCACTCCGGAGGAAAATTCTCCATCTTTCATCTCCAAACTTTCTCAGAGCCAAAAATAGAATTGGAGAAGAAGCACCCTATTCAAATAAAATATTAAATGGAAAAGTAATGCAGTAGAATATACACATGGCAGTAATAGTAATTAGTACAACTCTGATACAATAAATTTGTTATTTGTTTATATAACTCATAGAGTATCTTAGGAGACCTTAAGAAGTGATAAAGGCAAAAAGGAAAGGAAGAAAAGGAAGGTATAAATCTTCAGACCTTAAAAAAGCATGGGAATTGGGAACAGTCCCTTATATTCTTCTCATTTCTATTGGTTTTTGCCATGTATTTGACTTATTTCCCTTGAAGTCTTTGGCTTTTGCTTGTTCTGTGGGTAAAGAAGATCATTTGGAACAAATATACTTTGCCTTGCTTACCTACTCAACCCAGAATTGATGTACTTGCTTTATATACCTCAACTTCTCCTTCATTGTTCATTCCATCATTCATCTTGAAAGGACACAAGTACTACAAACTTTGATTGGCAGCTGAACAGAAAGGAAGAATTTGTTCGTCAGACATGGGTGTTCTTGGAGCTATGGCTAAACATTTGGATGCTCTAATTGGGTACTGGTTTTGGGGGGGAAATATCTCTCTGAACTTGCAAAACCAAATATTTTGTTGCTGTTTTTTTGTCTGTTTGCATAATGTTTGTCTCATTTTTGCCTTGTTGTTGTACCATTTCCTTGCTTAACCATCTTCAACTTTTCATTGTGATCCAGGCCTGGGATTATGCTGCTTTTTCCTTTGTAAGTGAGCATAAGCCATCTGCATTAAATCTTACTAATCTATCACTCGCTATTCTTTCTTGTGGTTTACAAATATGATTCATACATATGAATGAACAGATACGCATCAATAAGAGCAATTGAGAGCCCTTCAACTCTTGATGACCAGCAATGGCTGACCTATTGGGTTATATACTCCTTCATAACTCTCTTCGAATTGACATTTTGGAGAGTCCTGGCTTGGTATAATCCTCCTACTTAACGGATAAAGACTATTCCTCGAGTGTCCTTTTGTTTTAGTTTGTATTTTAAAGGCTGTGGGATTGGCATACAGGATTCCACTTTGGGGATACGTGAAGCTCCTCTTTTGCTTGTGGTTAGTCCTGCCAATTTTCAATGGGGCAGCTTACATCTACGAGAATATAGTGAGGGAGTACATTAAGATCGGTCGATATGTGAACCCGAACTATCCAGAGAATCAAAAGAAGGTGCTCCAGATGATGACTTTGGATTCCAGAAAATCAGTGGAACGTTACATTGATAGATATGGACCTGATGCTTTTGAACGAGTGGTGAAAGCTGTAAGCTGGCTCTATTTATCCAAATTTTGTTACTAATTACGTATATCTGTGATGTTAATCCTGTTAAACTTGATCTTTTGTAGGCTGAAAGGGAAGCAAGGAAACACTGAGAAGACACCCTTCTAAATGCAGTCGAAGAATAAGGCATTACAAGGCTGGAAGCTATGGTTTGGGGTAGTGGTATTAAGATGTCATGTTGTATTTTTATGCATTCTGCACAAGAGGAAAAAGAATGAAGGGTACTACTCCTGTGGATGATGATAGCTTTAAAAAAATGAGTTGCTACAGAATAACAATGTTCTACAAATTCCTAGCAATCAATTGAGACAAGTAAATCCTATTTTCTTTTTCCTACAGAGTTGACAAGGATGGTCTAATAAAGGAAGCAGACATAATACAAAGAACCAATTTAAGGCAGCTTACAACTGTCTCATCCAACCAAAGAAAACAGAACAAGAAAAATAATGTTTGAGCTCTATGCCTCCTATTTCCAAATCAAATGAAAAGATATGATATACCGAACATGCCTAAATCACTTTTTTCAATAACAATAGTATAACATGCAAGTTGCAAATGTAGAGCTTTTTAGTTGATTCCAACCGAAGAGAGAAGGAAAAGGGTAAGATTCTAAACGAATACCAACTCATTTGCTTGCCGAGGAAGATGATCTGCAGCCATTCCATCTTAAACAACGTTTTCAGTCTCGGGAGACAATGACTGAATATTGCTTAACCTGTATATATAGTTCATAAATAATGGGCACAAGTGACTAAAATTTCCAGTTAAAAAGCAAAATTATTCCGCATTATAAAAAGCTACATTGTCGCTTTTATGAAGAAATATAGCTGGCATGAAACGAAAAATGTCCAAACCAGGGAAACAGACTAATTGTACTGGACTTCATTGTGAAATTTTAAGCCGGTGAATAACAAAACACGATCCTCTCTCATTTAAACAAAAAAATGAAAAATAAAACAAAATAGTCAAACACAACACAATCTTCTAGAAAAAAAAACTAAAATTTATCCATGAGGCAGAACAGAGAGTAAAAAATTAGAACCTCCCAACTGCAAAATTTTAAGCGCTTCTCAACAATTAACCTCGCATGTGATTTACAGCTTGTCCTCGAACTCAGAGAGTGGGGTCATTTGCTCCTTCAACCCCTTCCTCTTGCGGATATCTGCGACTAGCTGAGCAGCCTGAGAACCAGATTCTAATGGATCCGACGACATCATGTCCCAATGGTCAAAAACACACTGTGGGAATGCCTGTCCGGAAGTTGCAGCCCTCAGCGTGCTCGAGAACCCAAAGGACTCAATAACAGGGAGATATGCCTTGATGTTGTAAAGAGGGGTTCCGGGCCTCTGCATCTCCTCAAAGACATGTCCACGCTTCTGGTTAAGAACACTGTAGATACCACCAAGAGCTTGCTCCGGAGCCTGAATCTCCACCAGGTACACTGGCTCAAGAAGCCTTGGTTTCGCAGTCAACTGAGAAGCATATATTACCCTCCTAGCAGTTGGAATGACTTGACCACCTCCTCTGTGGATGGCATCAGCGTGAAGGACCACATCACATACTTCAAAACAGATGCCTCTCATGTTTTCTTCAGCCAGTGCACCTTCTTTTGACGCCCATTGGAAACCAGCGACCACAGAATCCTTGATTTCATTCAGGTATTGTACTCCCTTACACATATCAACCACCATATTGGGTCCAAGAGTCTCAGGACCAAAACACCAGATCTTCTTAGCAAGATCTTTGTCCCAACCAAATTCCTCCGATAAAATTTTAGAACGTACTTTAGGATCATCTCGTGGGCCAATGCGGCCATCATCAATAGCCTCTGCCAGTCCATCTTCCAAAGGGCGTGCTTCCATGTACAGACGATTGTGTTTGTTGGGGGATTTACTCATCACTGTGCGGCATGACCTCTCAAGGACAGTTTCACGGAAGGAGACGACAGGATCAGATTTTATGATCTCAGCTCCACCCATAAAGTCGTCTTGCAAATCCTTGAGACAGATCTCCAGGTGAAGTTCTCCAGCACCGGCAACAATGTGCTCACCAGATTCCTCCATGGTACACACGACCATAGGGTCTGATTTTGCCAGACGTTTAAGGCCTTCCACTAGCTTGGGAAGATCAGATGCCAC